AGTTTTCTTTGTCTTTATGCTCCTTGAGATTCATTGAGCTTCTAGGATCTATAAGTTTATGTTTTCCAGAAAACTGGGGAACATTTTAGCCATTATTTCTTTAATACTTTTCTCCACATTTCTCTTTCTCCTCTCTTTCTGGGACTTCAATTACATACAAAATATACAACATGATATTGTTCACAGGTCACTGAGGATCTATTCATTTTTTAAATATTTTTTTCTTTTTGTTCTTTAGATTAGATAACATCTACTGATCTCTCTTCAAGTTCACTACCCTTTCTTTTGCTCACTCCAAACTGCTGTCAAGCCTATCCAACAAGCTTTTCATTTCAGACATTTTACTTTTCAGTTCTAAAATTTTCCTTTAGTTCTTTTTTTATAGTTTTCATTTTTCAACCAAGATTTTCCATCTGTTAATTCATTATGATAATATTTTTCTTTAAGGTTTTTAAAATATGTGTAATAACAGCTTTAAAGTCCTTATCTGCTAATTCTACTCTCTGGATTATCTTGATATCTTTCTTTTTTTAAAAACTAATTCATTAAGGCATGATTGACATACAAAATCTGTACATATTTAGTGTATACAACTTGATGAGTGTGGTGAAACCATCACCACAATCTGTGCAGTAAACTGGTTCATCACCTCCAGGGTCTGTTTCTATTGATGACTATTTCTCTTGTGTGGATAATATTTTCCTATTTCTTAGCATTGAGGACCTTATAGCATTGAGGACATTATAAATAATGTGTTGCATAGACTCTGAATTCTGTCACCATGCTCTAGAATGTGTTAATTCTTGTTCAAGCAGGCAATTAATTTGGCGAGACTCAAATTCCAAACTCTGCCCTTGGTGGGTAGCAGCTGGAATCTCTGCTCAGTTTTTTTCAAATTGTTAACTGTTGCATCTTTGCTGGGCTTCTTAGAATCTCTTCCATATATGTGTAGCTCAAAGGTCAGCCAAGGATTTGCATGCTATTTATTTGCAAATTATGGATCCCTGCCTTGCAACTTCCTCCTTTCTGGGATTCCCCTTCATTTTCAGCCTTTATGACAGCCCTAAACTTCATCCTCTTACTTCCTTAGCCAGTAAGACTGTGCCTTTCTTCCTAAATTATAGCCACTTTGCATCTCATGGACTGAGAAGTACTTTCGGACCAAAGTCACACACACATAAATCTCAACTGTTACAGTTCCCTTCTTTCAACATCAACTCCCTTCTAGCTTCTGCCTGTTTTCAATTTATCTCAGTACCTTCAAATAGTTGGTTTTTAAAAAAATATTTTATCCAGAATTTATGATTGTTATCTTCAGGAGGATTAGTCTGTAATAAGCTACTCTATCATTATCACAGTTGTAACTAGGTCACTTTTTAGTCTTGTCATTGTATAATACTATCTTTATCAAAATGAAAAATATTTGCTATTAATATGGTTATGTTAATTGCTACTTTCCAACAAGACTTAAGTGGTTATATTTTTTTAAACTTTTATGGCTCTATTTCTTCTTCAGTTGAGAAAATAAGACAGAATTAAATGAGTTCTGGATTATGTAATGCCACCAGGGTACTATACAAATACTTAAAATATATGTTGTAAATGTAATAAGCAAAGTACAAAGAAAAGCTATAGGAACTCAGAGGAGGAAGAGATCAGAGGCAATTTCCTAGAGGACGTTACCTTTAAGCCAATTGTTAAAAGGTGACAGGAATTTAGTAGCCAGAGTTGAGAAAAAGAGAATATTCCAGAAGGAACATCATAAGCAATGCAAAAAAAGGGGGAGGTTGCAGGCTCAAGTCTTAATGGTTATAGCTATAAATATAATTTATAACTCAAAATCAATACTTAAAAGTCCATAGTGTGAACATACTGCTATATATAAAAATATGGGTAAACCTCACACCAATTTTAAAAGAAAAAAGCCAGATACAAAAGAATACATACTGTAATAATCCATTTATGTAAAGTTCACAAACAGAAAAAAATAATAGCTGATAACAGAATTCAGAATAGTGGTTACCTTTGGGTTATAGTAGTGACTGGGAGGAGCAAGAGAGGGGCCCCTGGGGTGCTTGTAATGCTGTACCTCTTGTTCTGGAGGCTGGTGACCCACAGCGTCCACTTTGTAAAAATTTATCAGTTGATGACTTTATGATTTGTGCCTTTAAAAAAAAGTTATACTACAATAAAATGTGAAACAAAAATAAAACCCAGTTTCTGGTAGGAAAAAAAGTTTATGGTGTGCATCTCCATATATTAACACATTAATTCCTACCAATGGCCTTATGGAAGGTCAGTGAGGATGAATTCTATGTTAAATTGAATTATGTAAACGTGAAATACCATGATGTAAAATAAGTCTTGCTTTATACACAAAGTTTGAAATAATTCAAATGCCCCCCAATTTAAAAAACAATAAAATTTCATTTTCTTTCAAAGCTGGATCAATCTGAGTGAATTTAAGACATATTTAAGCTTAAGTTTCCACAGGAAGGCACCACTTGAGTAAATAAAAATATCCTGTGTTATTTAGAATATGAGTTTAGCAAGTGTAACACATAACAGTAGATTAGGGGCTTCCCTGATGGCGCAGTGGTTGGGAGTCTGCCTGCCAGTGCAGGGGACGTGGGTTTGAGCCCTGGTCTGGGAACATCCCACATGCCCTGGAGCAACTAAGCCCGTGCTCCACAACTACTGAGCCCGCATGCCACAACTACTGAAGCCTGCATGCCTAGGGCCTGTGCTCCACAACAAGAGAAGCCACTGCAATGAGAAGCCCGCTCACCGCAACGAAGAGTAGCCCCCGCTCGCTGCAATTAGAGAAAGTCCGTGCGCAGCAACAAAGACCCAACGCAGCCATAAATAAATAAATTTATATAAAAAAAACCCAGTCGATTAAATGTGACAATAATTAATGTTTTCTCATGTCACAGTTTGAGCAGAGCAGTTTATGGCTGACACAGCAGCTCTACAATGCCAGGTACCCACACACTTACCATTTTACTGCTCTGTCCTCCTGAACAGGCCATTTTCTATCTTGTGATCTAAGATGGCTGCTACACTCCCACCATCTTGTCTGTATTCCAACTGGTAGAATCACTACAATTCCTATACTGCTGGCCAGAACTTGTCACAAAGACACAGGAAGCTACCATAGGGCCTGGGAAATGTAGTTTCTGGCTAAGTAGCACACTGAAGGTCCACCAGCAGTCTTTGCCATATCTGCCATTCCTTGTCTAGCTGTCTTGAATTATGTGGTTTACAATTATGAAATGCCTCCAGGAACAAATCCTTTACATAAAATTCAGCTGCCCTGTAGATAAGAATATCCCTATTTTACAGAAGATAGAACTGAGACTCAGAGAAGATAAATGACTTACCCCCCCCTCCCACCCCCACCCCTACATTGCTAATTAAATGGCAGAGCTGGGACTCAAATCCAGTGCTCCAAGCTCAGGGTTCTTGCTTTTCTGCTACAGAAGCCTCTCCAGGCTCCAAGAATACTGGTAATCCTTAGTCTGAGAGAAACTGAGACTCCTACTGTATCTAAGTTAAATGGCACTTGGAAAGGAGTGAGATAGGACACGGAGTGGTAGAGCTTTACTATGAGGATGTAGTAAAGCTGATGACCTGAGCTGTGTTTTGCTCTAAAGTTTCAAGAACTCAGGAAGCAAGAAAATATAGTAAAAAGCACTGGGCCACGAAACAGTGACATGCATTTTAGTTGTGCTTCTGAACTAAAAGGCAGATTAGACATGTGCTCCAGCCATTTTCCCTTTCTGAGTTTTAGTTTCCCCATCCAACAGATGAGGAGGAGCGCTGGGACAGGGTTGCTGAATATGGCCCTGAAGGTTGTGCACAATTTCTTAAATTCACGAAGCAGGAGATTCTGGAGCAGAGTTAGAGGGTGCAGCACAGCTCCAAGCCTAACCCCTCCCCAGTCCTTAGAAATACTACTGGTAAATTCTCAAAATATTGGGATTCTCAGAAATACTACAAAATACGGAGAGAAGACAATCAAGCGGCATTCTTATCTTTTTTCTCTTCTGACAAGGGAACTTGGAAGAAACAAGTGAAATTAAAGTAAATAATGTGTCTGATTCTTCCTTAAAGAAGTGACTACTTCAGGATCCCACCAAAATGTTCCAAAGCCCTGGGGGTGGGGGTAGGGAGGGATGGTTTCATCCTCAATTGGGTAGAGCAAACCCTGATACAATACGTTCATCAAAATCTCAGGAGACGGAGGAGCGTCTACATATTTTAACAAAAACCGTGTATGTCCTAAAACAGAGGCTTCTCCCACCTATGCCCTCAGGTCACAGAAAGGTGGTGAAAATCCAGAATACCCAGTTTTCAGATGTTGGGAGAGAAAACACATTGGTACCAGACAATGGGGGAGGAGATACTATATCAGAGCAAGTAGAATGTCTGTACATAGCTGCCCAAGTATGTACAAGGGGAAAAGAAATGACACAGTCACTAATGATCTATTACATACATGTCAGTATTTCACCCACAGCTAACAAAAGAAAAAGAGCTGAGGAGGGAGGGAGAATCATGGGCTGCAAAAGACAAAGCCTAATCTAGGAAAAAAACCTAACTCAAGGAACAGAAGGAATTTTCTCACAATTTCTTCACATTGTAGCACAGCTTGATAGGAGCATAAATTAAGTAAAACTAGAGCTCAACCATGAGATGATAAAATAGCAGAATGAGATAAAAAGGGAGGTTGCAGACATAAGGAAATAAATTGAATACCAAAATACTTTATGGAACTAATAAGTAAACTATAAATAGAAAGAACAGAACAGATACTGCTGAATACTGAAATATTGACATGGAGAAAAGACTGTAAGCACAGTAAATGCAGACGAAAAAATAAAGGAAATTAATTAGAAGTTAACAGATATGCATATTAGTTTGTTACCAGCTAAGCTGCTGTAACAAAGAAATCCAAAAATATAATGCCTTAAATAAATTAGTTTCTTCTCACTCACAAAAGAGTCCACAGGTAAGAAGTCCCAGTCTGGCAGGATCTCCTCCAGGAGGTCATCCAAAATATGGTTCCTTCTATCTTGATGCTCCATCACCTCCTCATTCCTGTGGTTATAGGACATTCTCATTTCAATGGTTGAAGCTGGCTCCTTTACACACCCATGTTTCAGTCTGTAGGAAGGATAAAAATAGTCCAGAGCAAGCACTCTAAGGAGATGCCACAGAGGTTATACGTATCACTTCTGCCACATCTTATTGGCTTCACGTCTCCATTTAGCCACAGGGGACACTGGGAAATGTGGTCTTTAACTGGATAGCCATGTGCTCAGCTAAAACTCAGTGTTCTATTCTAAAAGGAACCAGGAGAGAATGAATAGTTAGGAACTACACTATGAAAGATAAAGATGAGCCAACATTTAAGGACACTTGATGTCCCTCACAGAGAGAACCCAGCAAATGAAAGAGAAGATGTATCTAATGCTGTAATTTAAGAGCACATTCCGGAAGTGAAGAAAGAACTGAATCTGCAGGTGGAAAGAAAACATTGAATCCCAGGAAATTTTGATTTAGAATATTTAACATAAAGGTATTTCCTAGTTAAACACTTGAACTTTAAAGGCAGAGAATGCTTCAGACATCCAGGCAGAAAGAAAAATCACCTACAAGGGGTAAAAAATCAGGCTGGCATCCAATTTCATTATATTCATTGTGGAAGACAATGGTGTAGTCTACAGAGTTTTAAGATAGGATGGCCCCGGGTGTAATTCAAGTATAAAGGTTCAGGGAAGTAAAATACCCATGAACACTTGTTGGAAAGAACTGCTTAATAACCAAAGCCAGGCAATTTAATAATCCACCAAAATAAAGAACTCAAGCATAAAGAAGCCCTGACAGAAGGACTGTTGATGAGCACTGGATCCATTCACATGTAGAACTAATACCAAAAAATCATAGCAATGATGGTTTCAAGAGAGAATGTGAATATTATAAATCTGGACAATGTAAAAATAATATAATACAAAATTGGGAGGTGAGGGAGAGGAGATGGGAGTAGCAAGAAAGTTCTAATGTTCGCCATCTTTTGAAGCTGGGATATGTTATCCAAAATAAAAACATGTGGTGAAAAAAAACCTAAATGTTTTTCATAATTGCCTTTATTTAACAATGGAGCAGGGGTCCACAAATCACTGCCTGAGGGTGAACCACATGTTTTTGTAAGTAAAGTTTCATTGGAACACAGCTTCACCCATTTGTTTCCATATTGTTTATGCTACTTTCCAGCTATAAAAATAGACTGAGACAGCTTAAAATTTACTCTCTGGCCCTTTAAGAAAAAATTTGCCAACCCATGCAGAGGAATCTTTTTTAATTCACAGGAATCTTGTGATAAAGAAATATTTATTTGAGGCTTAATGATTTGTTGGGTTTATTTTATTTTTTATCTTTTTGATGTGGTTTTAAAGTCTTTATTGAATTTTTTACAATATTGCTTCTGTTTTGGTTTTTTGGCCACGAGGCATGTGGGATCTTAGCTCCCGACCAGGGATCGGACCCGCACCCCCTGTATTGGAAGGCGAAGTCTCAATCACTGGACCACCAGGGAAGTTCCAATTTGCTGGATTTAATTCAGCCTTTTCCCTTCCTATTAAATTCATGTCAAATTAAGTTTAATAATATAAGTCCTACTTTTATAAAACAATAGATCAATCACTCCGAAGATGTCAGGGATAGTGAATCACCTAATGATATTCGGTATGGTTTCTTAAACTTTCATCTCTGTGTTTTTCTGCATTATTTGGAATCTTTATAATAAGCATATATCATTATTACCAGAATAATAAAATAGAATGATTTTTCTATTTGAAAACACTGGAAGCAAATATACCAAGATATTCACAATAATTAATTCTGGCTGACAGGAATATGATTGCTGTTTTCTTCTTTAAGCTTTTATATATTTTTTAAATATTGAAGAAATTTTAAGCTATTATAGAGGATTTTGGCATAAAGTGATAAAGTTCTGAATTATAGTTTTGGAAACAGTAATAAGTACCAGATATGAGGGACATTGCTCTGTTTAGAATATGATTCTTTCATTAGTAGTATACAAACCAAAAAGCATGATTCAACATAAAATATAAAGCATGAGATAAAAGAGAATCCAGGGGACTTCCCTGGTGGTGCAGTGGTTAAGAATCCGCCTGCCAGTGCAGGGGACACGGGTTTGAGCCCCGGTCCGGCAAGATCCCACATGCCGCGGAGCAACTAAGCCCGTGCGCCACAACTACTGAGCCTACGCTCTAAGCCTGTGAGCCACAACTACTGAGCCCACATGCCACAACTACTGAAGCCCACGTGCCTAGAGCCCATGTTCCGCAACAAGAGAAGCCACCGCAATGAGAAGCCTGAGCAGCGCAACCAAGAGTAGCCCCTGCTCGCCGCAACTAGAGAAAGCCCTTGCGTAGCAACGAAGACCCAACGCAGCCAAAAATTAATTAATTAATTATTTTTTAAAAAAAGAGAGAGAGAGAGAAGCCAGAAGCAGATGATACTCGACTTCTGTTAGGCAATCAGCATATTCATAAAGCCGGTTTCTTTAATTTGCATTAATCTAAACCTACCTTTCCAGTCTCATCCCCCACCTTATCCTCCTGATACACACAACATACTCCAGCCACACAGAGCCCTTCACCTTCAATGAGATCTTCATGCATTTGTATGCTATTTTGCTTTGCCGCCACCATTCTTTCTACCTACAATTGATTCCTCTTCTCTATGGGATATCATTCAGTGCTTCTTTTAAGACATAATTAAAGTATCACTGACTGCAGTACATCTCAACCTTGGCTGCACAGCAGAATCACCTAGGGAGCTTTATAAAAATACCGAGGCCCAGGCCCCAGCACAGCTATTCTGATTTAATTGCCCAGGGTTGGGACCCAGGCAGCAGTATTTTTATAAAGCTCCCTGAGTGATGCTAATATACAGCCAGGGTTGAGAGTCACTGCAAAGCCTTCTGCAATACCAGCAGGCAGAGTTAATTACTACCTCTTCTGCACTCTCATAGCTCTTAGATTTTCCATTGCTCATGAAATTTAATGCTTATTGTATTAAAGTTAGTGTTATATAGTAAATGCTCAGTAAACGCTGAAGGTTGTTACCATCCTTCTTCCAACCAAGCATATGCAGAAATGTAAACTCGCCAGGATGTCACCCCTCCATGCCCCCTACACACACACACACACACACACACACACACACACACACACACACACCTCACTGCCTTTTCAGCACAGCCCTAGACCTTGGGTCTGGCTTTTACATTGTTGAGATGTATGCAATGTAAAGAATTAAAGAAACCAGTGTTATGAATGTGCTGACTGCCTGAGAGAATCCGAACATCATCTGCCTTCCACTCTCATCTTTGTGTCACACTTTACATTGTGTTTGATGTCAGATCCTGCTACTTTAGCTTTCAAGAGCAGGTTGTCAGGTGTACTTTGTCAAAGGCTTTCAGAAAATCCAGATAAATGATGCTGTAAGCCCCGAAACTGCCAAAACTGTATTTTACACCTTCACAGTACTTGACAATTTTATTTAAGTGGAATCTTTCTTCCTTCGATTTACCTTTGCCTCTCTGACCCTGAGATCAATCAGATAACTGGAGACCCTTCCATTTTTGATACTGAGTGTCCTCAGCTATGCCTGCGCCATGTCTGGAGCACAATACACTGGGTGATTATCTCAGCCTCCCTGGTTAGGAGGAGCTCCTGGAAACTACTCCTCTCTGGAGGTGAGGTGGGGAAAGGAGAGCTGAGGATGAGGAAAGGAGACCAAGGTGCAACAGCAAGACAGAAGTTCCATAATCACACAATGTGCATACACACTCTCATCAAGGCAAGACCCAGAGGACTGACCTTTCCTCTTCCCACTAGCCTGGAAGGAAACCGATTGCATTAACAGTCTGCTCTTTCCTGTTAAAAATCCTATTTGTAGTCATTTTAAACTGTCCTCACGAAACATCGCCAAAGGTTTTGGTGTCCATAGGATGGTAGTTGCTTATAGTTTCCCTTAAGTACCACATCCTGGCAGTATGGCCCTAAAATAACTTTGTTCACAGACATTTCTCAGCCAGTAGATATTTATTTTGCAAAGTGATTTTCTCCCCAGAGTCTTGATGAAACTTTCCCTTTCTTTTTCCTTAAGGTCATCATGACCTTGATGAACAATAAGATGTACTACAACTGAGTCCAATGGCAAGTTTCACTAATGCAGAATCAGATTAATCTTCAAATTGAATAATCTTTGCATATCTAGTACTCTACGTGACCTGAGACAAATCTACTAAGCTTTCTGACTTGGCTCTTTATTAGCAAACCGTTACCTGGTTCCCTTGGAAGTTGTGCAAATTAATTAATGTTTGGAAAACAACCGGAAAATTTAAAACAGTCTATAAATACCAAACAGTTGCATCTTCCTTGCTGAGAGGGCCCAGGTAATTCATAACCTCCTATAATAAAGGTAAAATATGTGCTTGGGCTCTACAATTAAATGTGATTTATTTGCAATACCTATAATCTTCGAAATCTAGAAACCATTTAATAGAAACAGTTCATATTTCATAACTATAATAAAAGCATGTAATGACTTTAGGAAAAGTAATATCTACTGTAAGTGATCTAGACATCATGTCTTTAACCATTTCTAAGATCTGCAAGAGTATGCTCAGAGTTTATCCTTAACCTGTTAATGTTGACTGATAGATTTATCTTTACATTCTCCCAGTTTTTCTTTATCCTCAAAACTCTAATATGTATTTCCTAGAAAATCTGCCTGTATAAAACTTTGCTGTATTCAAAGCCTCCTGTCAAGATATAGCACTTTTATATTTTAGTCATTAAAATTGAACAAAATCTTAATAGTTCCTTTATTAACTACTATACTGACTTTGCATAGTGGAAATCACAACATGTTAACTGGATTTAATTAACTATTTTAAATTACACAAACTCCTTACAGTAGACAATAGCACAGGGTACTCATTAGCAATAAAATTGGAGCTGATATTGCTACTTTATTAAAACTTAATGAAACTATTCATAATCTTATTTATTGTTTACAAGAAGAAAACTGTGCTCATTTTGAAGGCAAAAAATGTCTCCTGAAAACAA